TGAAGAATACTTCTAAGAATCTGTGATAAAAATTTCAATCCGATCACGCAAAGTTAGAAAGGTGTTGTAACGTACGAAAAATTAGGGCTTTCTCAGTAAAATCTGCTATGAAATTTTTTTCTTCGAACATCTGTCTCCTTATTTTAGGTGCTATATTCCTGGTCAAAATTTTCGTCTAATCAGTTATATCCTCTTCGAGAACTAGAAGTGCGTAAAAACTCTGCATATTTTCCCAATATTTTAAAATAAATATTTTTATATGGAAATGTATTGATACGATTGTTCCCATTTTAATTTAAATCATTGTATTCAGAATTAAATTTTACATTCAATGGTATGTGAATCAAGGTCGTACAGAATGAATATGGCTTCAAAAAAATCAAACATTATTTTCGATAATGAATCGAAAAACAATAATATTTTTTTAGTTTGAAGTCTTCTTTTAATGGATAATAAGGCTAAAAATATTGTCTGTTTTGTAGAGAAATAAATATGCTAATAGGGACAATAACTTATATTTGTTTGATAGATAAATATTTTTTTTATTCTCTCTTTTGATGTTTCATTTTAGGAACAACGTGAAATAGATTTTGATAAAATCAATGATTATGCTGAAGCATTTCGTGGTGCTGATGTACATTTTTGTTGTCTTGGTACTACGAGAGGTAAAGCTGGAGTAGTAAGTATGAAATTTAATATTTCAGTTATTTTCTTATTTTGATTTTTTTTGTTTTTTTTGATTGAAGGAAGGTTTTCGTCGAGTTGATTTTGATTATGTTGTTGGTGTAGCTCGTCTTGCTAAACAAGAAGGTTGTAAACATTTTCATCTTGTATCAAGTCAAGGTACAAATGAAAATTCATTTTTTCTTTATCCTCAAGTGAAAGTATGTTTACGGGGAAACTCATCGAACTAATTAATAGCTTTTAAGTCAGAACTATGTACATCATATGGATCTTAATGAGTTATGAATATTCTGATAACAGTTCGAGCTCTTAGCTCATTATTACAGAGATATTGCATGTTGACGGCATTTTTAAAATTCCATGCAGTGTCTGAACAGCAGATTTTCGAATTTTAACATGAAACTTTGCACAAGAGAATAGTTTATTGTGAAGTTTTTGGGTCTTTTGACTTGTTCCTATCCTGAAATCGGAACGTCGAATGTATCGGAGCATATCATCAATGTAAAAGACACGCTTTTAACATAGCCGCTAGAGATCTGTAGAGGATATTAGGTTAGAAAATTTTTTCTCAGTCAGGTACAGAGTACGAAAAAAAGCTTATTCTATACGTCTCTAACATGATACTATGTTGCTATTGATCATTTTTAGAGTCTCTCAACTAGGCTAGGATTAAGAGAGAGAGTGAGATAAAAACTTTGTAGGATAAGATAAGACCGAGATGGAACCGGTATTGATTTTAGACCGGTTCCATCTCTACAGTAGGTCGAAATTCGAAAACCTGTTTTTGAGCTGGACTACGGCATTGAGTTGTAAAATTCTGCAGTCGTACGCTGAGGATCCGAATTCTTGTCAGGATATTCCTAGCTCATTAGGATCTACATAATATATATTGTGTCGACTAAATAATCATTTTCTCAAGGATCAAGCAGAAGCAGCTTTAACTAAAATGTCATTTGAACGTTTATCAATTTATCGACCAGCGTAAGGTTTTTTGTTTTAATTTTTCTATTCGAAATAAAATATTTTATTTAGAGTGTTAATGGTTGATCGTGTTGAAAGTAGACCATTAGAAAATTTACTACGAACAATCCTTAGTTATACAGTTCAACGTATAGCACCCGAATGGGTAACAACACCAATTGATGTTCTAGCACGTGCAATGTGCTTTAATTCATTTACTAAAGATCGAGTTGGTGTTGAAATTCTTGATAATCATGCAATATTTCGTCTTTCTGAACAACAATCAAGTTCTCAAAATGAACAATCAAAAGCTACAAATGAACTTTAATTTTTCATTTATCTTTGTGATTTTTCTTTTCTAAAATATGTGATATTTGATTTATTAAAGAAAAAATTGTCTATTCTAGATAAATGGATGAAATTTATGAAAGTAAATTAACACTTTATGTAAGGAAATTATCTTTGTTTTTTTTTTGTTTTGAAAAATTGCTATATATTTTGTTTTTGAAATAGAAACGTATTGAAAAAATAATTAAAGATATTGAAGCAAAAACAAATGAATCTATGGAAGCTATTCGTCATAAACTGTATGATAATCGATTTTATTTATGAAATAAAATATTATATTTTAAATTTTCTAGACAATCTGATAATACAAGTATTGGTCCTGCAAATGATTTACGTAAGGAAAAGATTTTGTTTAATAAAAAAAAAAAAAAGAAAAAACAACATTTTATTATTTAAGTTTTTATTATTTAGTTCGTTTTTTCTATATTCTTGAACGGCAATATCAATGTGATGATGATGAAACACGAAGAAAAGCTAGAGAAGATTGTTTAGAATATATTGATCAATATCGACCACCTGATGATGATGATGAACAACCAGATCAATCCAATGAGTCACAACAATCTGAATCAATAGTTCTTCCTAATCAAGTAATAATATTTTTATTTTTGACTTCGAAAACCAAATAAATAGATTTTGTTTAAACACTGCATTTTTTTTTCTCGAATACTTTTTTGAAAAATAAGGGTAAGAGTTCTATTTAGTTTCAGTTGTTCATAAAGATAAGATAACAAGTCCTACAAGTCTAAATTAACGTTTGGTTCAAGCATTTATTGCTAGAAACTTGAGAGCCTGACCTGACGATAGAACTCCCTCGGGTTGATTTTTGACCTTGATGGACGGTCTTGTACAAACATCGGTTTTTTTTTCATTATCTAACAGGAATAAATTATTGTACTTCTAGTCGCCACCTGCAGTTATACCTCCGTCATCAACAGTTGTACTTCCTTCAGCATCACCTGTTAAATCTCAATTGCCACATCCACAACCCACACCTTCACTAGAGGATATTGGTGATATTAAACCAGAAACACTTATTGAATATAAAAAATTATCATTCGAAGCTCAACAATATGAAAAACGTTATTCAACAATAGATCTTATACGTAAAAAACAATTAGCATCTTGTATAAGAGATATTATGAATAAATTACGTAAAGAAACATTTCATACATTAACAAATGAATTATTTGAATTTTTAAATGGACAAGAAAAAAAAAAGTTAGTAATCAAATAATTCGTATATCAAATGAAGAAGGTAATTATTATTGTTTTTTTAATTTTCTCTATGATTTATCTTATTTCGAAATAAATAGAACGTTTATTATGTTTATCAATGCTTGCATCACTTATTCTTTCACAATTACTTGGTGGTGATTTAAATGATATAAAAACAGAAATTTTTTTACCATTAATTGGTATTCTTAGTCGAAGTCAACGACATTAAGAATTTCGTATTATTTTTCTTGATCGTTTACATAAAAGATGTCCATATACAGTACCATTATATCCAAAACGACAATCAACTATGAATGATAAACAATATTTAGAGTAAATATATCTAAAATAAGTTAATATATTTTTAAATTTTTTTTTTTTAAAGAGCAATAGGTTATGTTGAAAAACAAGATGGTGATCAACGTCTTTTAGAAACTGAAAGTGAATTTCTTACTCGAATGAATGGACTTATTCGATTATTTTGTAAATTACTTGTTAGTCGTGGTTCACCATTTGATAAAGATTTAGCATTTGCATGGAAATGGTTTCCTGATGTTTTAAATTTACCACCAAAATCAAATATAACATCAATTTTAATACGTGTTTTTCTTGATGAAGCTGGTGAAATTATGATAAAAGCATATCCAGCACAATTTCCAAAACTAATTAATGCTGTTCGAATACAGTATTTACCATTATTAGAAAAAGAAACAAGTCATAATCAAATAACAAGACTTCGTTTAACATTAGAAAAACTTTTTAAATAAATCATTATGAGCATTATATTTTGTATATTGTTAGTCTGATATAAAGATTAATAAATAAAAAATTTTTGTACTTTAAACAAGAAATTCAAAATCGAAAACAATGAAATCAAGTTTGCTATGATTAAAGTTTAATGTTTAGAACTGAAATTCGTCCAGCATTGTAATCATAATAGTCTATAATGTGCACAGGAAAAATTTGGATCACATCGGTTAGATGCTAATATAATAAACGTATTAAATGTTCAGTAAATTTTATTTGATAGAAAAACTTATGACAGTTACAACAAAATAGATACAATCATACTACTATCATAAGAATATAAAAACTGGATTGATTTTGTAAACAATCATTTGTTACATTGTGTAAATAAGATTTGAAAGATTTATTCTTTTAATCAATGACATAATTGGAAATGATTAGTTTCAGCATAGTAAAGTAGTAACACAGTATATGTGTCTAAGTAGCAAATAAAGGTTTTACAAAAAATTCTATGTTCAAATTATTGATATAAAATCTGCAACAGATGTATCTTAAATTGATATAAAATTAATTTTTATATGTATTATAAAACAATAAAAAGAAACTTTAAAAAATTGGCATCTGTAGGTGCCATTTGGCAACAAAACGTTAAAGTGAATATTTGACAACAAGAATGAGAATAAATGATAAAAGTATGTTTGTATGCATTAAATTTTATTAGTACATCTTGTTGAAAATTTCCAACTATAAAAATGTTACTGCATAATAGTTTCATTCATACTACTCATTTTAATCATGTCATTAGTACCGTATTTTGTTACTGCTGTGGGTTCCAGCACATTGCGTATTGTTGAAATGTTTTTTTTTTAATTCCTAAAGATGCAGAACATTACTTAAATCATGAAATCAATTTCAAAGAAGCTACAGATGGTATTGTTAAAAATATACATATTTATGTGCCATTAACAACTGCTAAACTCATATGTGATACTATCGTTCTAAGCACGATAAGTAAATGGATTTATGATGTACTTATTCACGTAAGATATATATTTAAAGGTCTTATTAATTATGGACTTGAAGCTTTTAAAAATGCTATAAAATTATCATTAAATCATATTTTTACATCACTTCGAAGTTGTTCAATTGGTCTTATTTTAAGTCAATTTAAGCATATTTATGATAAACATGAAAAAGTTTTATTATCTATATCTATAATTGATTTTTGTACTATGTGTAATCATATCTATCTTCCCATTATTAGTCAAAGAAATGGTTTTAAAAAAAAATATTCAATTAGAACTTATGAAATATTGGTTAGAATGTATGGGTATTATAGGTGCAGTAGCTGAATCTAATAATATTAATTTTGTTAAATATATGAATAAATGTTATTCAGATGAAATGTACGTATTTGAAATTAATTTATTCTTGATAAATTATTTTTGTATCATTTTAGTTATATAAATAATATATCTTCATTGAATAATGAACATTATTTGGAATGGAAACGTGTAAAAGATCCGGATTTTATTCGAATTATTACAGTTTCATTAGAAGATATATTTCATGGAAAAGTATGTAATGTAATTGTTCAACGAAAAATTCGTGACATTAATAAACAAATACCAGAAATTGAAGAAGCAAGATATCAAGTTATTATTGAACCTGGTTGTATTGATGGAAAAAACATTTCGTTTTATTGAAACAGGTCATAAAGATCCAATAAATATACCAGCAGATTTAGTTGTAGAAATTCAAACACAGCCACATAGATTATATGAACGATCACGTTTTGATCTTATTTATATAGCAAAAATTTCTTGAGGGTGTGGAGTGTGGGTATGAGAAAAGGAAATAGTGACACCTACGCTCACACCCATTCCACGCACTGCTAATCAATTTCATGATGTACTGTAACATTCATTCAAAGGATTTAAATATCGATAAATCACTTAATGAAAAGTTCGAATAATTAGAATATTGATTATAAATTCAGAAGCATATAAATGAAATATGTGTAACAGATAAAATTAATTGACTGATTATGATAGCGCATAAATTTTTCTGATCAACATAAAATTCCATGTGTTTTAAATTAGATAATTTTGAGGTTGTTAAAAATAGGTTTAGTAGACCTCGATGACAATATCTCACATCTAGTGTTACATGTCGTAATTCAGAGTCCAGTAGAACAGGTCCGAATCTTGAAAAATTCTGTTTGTTACATTCCGCGGTAAAATTGAGATTTTTCCGAAAATTTTCTTCATGAAATATTCGAGATCGTGATGTTTATTGCTAATTTGTTATTTTACTATGTAACATTTTTTTCTTTTTATGATTTGTTAGGTTTCAGAATTGTCTAGTTATTAGGTTTGCAAGACAAAATATATACTGAAATTAAAAAAAATATTACTTTTAAACTTTCTTCTTTCTTTTTATTCATTTTATAGTAAATGCGATCTTTTATTACATCAATATTCTTCAATCAATCAAAGAATCAAGAAATAGTGTTAATTCTATTGTTGATTATCTTTTTTAACTTACATTTTATAAATTAATTTTATACTTGCTATTTTTTCTTTAACAATAAGTGAAAACTTGTGCAAATGAAAAAGATCCACTTAAATAAAGAAAACTAAGATCTACTCATATTTTCTCTTTCCAACCTGAACCATCCAGTCTATCTTTTTATATATTGCTCCATTGTTTTAATCATTGAATAAACAACTTCTGTAACTCTCATATAACGTTGATATTATAAATTGAGATGAGAAATTATATAATATTAAATGTAACAAAATTCTAAACTATACAGATCCGTAATATTACTTTTAATGCCGAATATGGAAAAAAAAAGATAAAATTCTTAAAGAACAAAGTTCAATTTTTACGAAGTCAGTGGAAAACGATTTTCATAAATAAGTACAGTTCTATCTCAAAACAAAACAAAAATATTAGTATCAATAACGTCTGAAACGTAACAAGCTGAAAAAATTATCAACACATCAAAACTTAATGAGAATTTTTTTAATCGATAAAAACTATTTTATTCTATTTTTCTATTTCTTCGAGCAAAAATATTTGTGAATATTCTATCAGACAAAGTGGCTACGAATTCGAGTGTTTTCACTTATGATGCATTGCTTATCAATATATAAATACCGATAATGCTCTCTCGATAGAAAGGAAAACAAAAGACATAGAAAAAAAAACTAAATCATAAATCAGAACGCAATCCTCTCGACATTCTTCTCGAACCTAATCAGATACTGAGACACTGACAAAAAGGTTAAGTATATAAACCAATGCCTCAACATACACCAGAGAAACAGTATAATATCAAGAGAGATGTTCTATTAAAACAATACATAATGATAAATAGAAAGAAAAAAAATTAATCCTATCACTCTAGGTTTTTAGCATGTATCCATATGCTAAAACGAAAATATAATTATAATACAAAATACATCATAGATGCATTCTAGAAATCTACATTTCTAAGGGATATATATGAGTTCATCTCACACAGATATGTATAATACATATTACATAATACATAATACATGAATTTTAGTATTGTAGGTTTCTTGAGACTATATATGACAATAGAGTGACATGTGAGTGGAATAGTAGGTGAAAGAGGATAATACAAGATGTACTCATACATATGCAGCTCTGACACATCTGTTTTTCATTTTTGTGTGGGTTGGTATAAAAAAAACGATTTTTTTTTCCATAAAAATTTTTTTATATTCGTGTATTCATATAAATTATTTTATCATATTTTCAGCATTGTATCACAGATTTCTTTATAGCTTGCTTATTGAACGTTCTTAAGTTTTCATGGAAGATATAGTCTAGCCAATATAGAAAAAAAAAATATTGATCATATGAATCTATCACAAAAACTTTAGAATCTACAAAAAATAAGTTAGTAAGAAAAAAAGATTAAAAAGAGATTTTAGAAGAGGAAAATGAGATTATGATCAGAAAATTTGAAAACAATCATGAAACAAAAATTCTCATATATCATGTTGTTAGTTGATTTCAATTTATCAATTTCTTATCTAGAAATATATGATGTAATATTTCTAATTAACTATTATATAAATAGAACACATATCTATTGACATGAATCGAAGTTTGATATAGATGATTTTTATAAAGAATGACATATTGTGCCGTATGTCTTTCTCTCATTAAATGATTCTTGATAAATTTTCGTTCAATCTTTTAATAGTACACTTTTTCATAGTTTTACTATTGATATTAATATTATCAAAATATAGTTTATTTTAGCAAGAATCATTCAAAACAAACCTAATAATATTTAAACTCATTTTCTTTACAATTGAATATCATAATCGAATCTGCTCATACCTTTTAACAGAGACTAATTCCAAATATATCATTTCTCCAATTCAAAATCTTTTTCATCTTGACACTAATCTTTTAAGCATGTTATCAATGCATAAATCAACCATTAGAATTTCTTAATTTAAAACTAGAAAAAAACAATTCATATACTAACCAAATGAAACAAGTCTCTTTTTCTCTCTAAACTATACTATTTATATTTTCATTGAAATCAAATGTAACAAGAACAAAGAAATAAACACAAGATAACAAAAAAATATAAATAATCAGTGATCTATGTTTTTCATAAATGACATAAATGTGTACTTCAAATATAAAGATCATTTTAATTATTGAATATTTTTCAAAAAAAGCTTTTTTATCTCTTCTTTGATAGTACTAAAATTTAATGTTTGTTTTTCGTCATTTATTGATTTTAATAATTCAGAATAATTTGTATTGACCTCCTTGATCCGTGTCCATAATTTTAGTGATTCTTTTGCTTTGGTTTTAGTTTGTAATTTTTGAATTAAATTCATTTCAATTTTAATGCGAGGATGTGCCATAAACATAATGATATTTAATGCACATTGTAGATCGAACGTTCGTGGATAATTATAAACTAATGGTTTCAATTGGAATTCTGAATATATATCCAAATAATGCTTTAAAAATTTTGTATCGGCAAATATAATTGTTCCTCCTATGGATAATTCTTTTGTCGTTTCATTCGTATTAAAACTTGTGGCAAAACCAAAATCGATTAATTTTAAATGTGAACATTTTGTAACCACCATCAAGTTATCTGGACGTAAATCACGATGAATAATACGACGATTATATAAATATTCAACGATATCAATAAGTTGTTTCGATTGAACTTTTGTTAATGATTTGATCAATTGTAATTCATTTTTAAATAATAAAAATTTACCTAAATATAAAAATAAACAAATTAGCAAAGAAAATAAAATATTATTTCAATGATCGTGAAATAAAAATATCCAATACGAAATTTTTATCAATCAAAAAAATTTATAGTCAATTAGAAATATATTCAGTTGAGATTGAATTTTTAAATAAGAAATTAACAATAATCTTGTTCTTTATCATCTATTTCATCTATACATGAATATAAAAGAATTGCAAACCTGTACAATTACAATCTTAGATTTATACGAAAAATAAACTGATCAACATAATTTTAACAATAGATTTCTTGGTACAATTATTTTATTGAAAAAAATTAAACAATTTACTAACTGATACAGATATCTATGCTTTATATTTAAAAAACAGAAGAAATCTATTATGATCCATCATTCAAGAAGTTTTTAAAATTTGATCTAAACCTTTATTGATGACTATTGATGTTTATAATTGAAGAATAAAAATTAATTCGAATAAAAACTATTGTTTGAGAATCAACTTTAGAAAAATTAAACTTGAATAAGAAACGTTTATTATTACAAGAACTTGACAGTTTAGGGTATATAAAAAGTCAATTCATTTTCATCAATTTTATACTTGATGATAAAGTAACTATTGCTACTGTACATTGTACAATATTTTTATTTGATATTGTATATTCTTTTGTTTAATCAATCTCGAACTATTTGATACTTTCAATGATTAACAAATAAGATCCACAATTACTTTTACATCAAATATCTTGATAAATACATTGACATATCACTAAATTTCTATGCATTTCCCATAATCATAGAAATTCTTATTCAGGAAAAGTCAAGTTTTCTGCATTATATTCATGATGAAAATACTTTGAAACTCATTTTAAATTATTGACAATATTAACACAGGGCTTATTGAAATAGATGACAGAAAAATAATGAATTTATATATTATTTTATAATGTTTAGTCTAATGAAATAAATCGAACATTAATCTTTCTATTGTTACACGAATTTCTTAGAAATTTATCTTTTGATAATTAAAAACAAACATTTTCTATTTCGTTAGTCGATTAAATATTTTGAAATGATTCGAGAAAATTTGCTTTTATTTTCTTTCATTATCGATTTTTATTTTCATCTTTTTTTTTTTTTTTTAACAAAAATTTCTTAATTGATCATTCCTTTATTTCATATTTCTCTTCAATCGATATATAATTATAATAATCGAAATAAATATCTCCTATTTTCATGTCAAATTAGAACTTTAATCATAGTCTTATAATTGCAATTCTTATATTGATTTACAAAAACAGATGAAAACACACTTACAGTTATATTTCTCTTGTTTTATTAACTATAAAACTATAAAAACAAAAAGACGACACTGAATTGATCTCGGAAAAAGCCTTGTTAACAGAGAAAGGTGTAAATTGGAGAAAACGATCTCGATTATACATGTTAAACAGGGTGTGAGTATGGATGTGAGCTTTAGTATCTATATGCATTCGGTAGGTTTTTTTCCAAACCACACTCATCAAGATAATTTTCAGTTCGAATACTTTCTTCAATCATCTTCCATGTTCGTTTCATTGTTCCACAATTAAATTGATGTTTGAATATTCGAAAGAATACTTAAGTATATAGTGGATTACATAGAATTAAACGCTGCATTGTTAATGATGTTCCTCAACAATTCACTCGTAAATATAACATACACCCTGTTATCATATGAATCATTTTTACTATTCTGCTCATTCTTTCAATTCATCATTTATATTGTTCTCTATATAAGCATATGTGCATATATATGGAAAAAATCGAGATCTCTTTCTCCAATCTATACCTTTCTCTGTTAATGAGACTTTTTCCTAGATATTTTCATCATTTTGTTCGAGACAAATTGTATTTTTTCCAAACAAAAACCAAAACGAATAACTTTCGTGTTCAATTAATTCAACTTTCTTCATATTTTTCTTGTAATTTATTTCATTCAAATTATTTTCCTAAGAAAAAAAATTTGAATGAAATATTCATCTATTCTAATCATTAATTTTTTCTTTTTACTCTCATACAGACAAATATTCCATTGAAGAACGATGGTTTTCACAATTTTAGTATCTCATAAAATCTTCCGTTTCCGTATGTTTCTCTTAATTCTGCCGACAAAAAAAAAACAAAATCCATTCTTTTTTTCGATAAACTTTTAACGTATTAAAATTGTTAAGAAAAATTTTAAAAGATAAATATTACCTTGAGGTGATGATTCAATAATATCTTCAAAAAAATAATTAAATTTCTCTTTATTATCAAATTCTTTTAATTTATTTATCATTGTAATTTCGTTCATAAACAATCTTGAATGTAAATTGTGTTTAGAGATTTTCATTATACGAGTTTTAGCATTTGTAGCATTTTTAGCTACATTTTCTTTTAACAAATACACTCTTCCTGTTAAACCGGTTCCCACCTTTTTTATTATGTGAAACCTATTACCAAGTAAATCATCATCAGCAGTTATATCAAAAGTTGTAAATTCGTAAAATTCGTTATCACCTGTTAAAAATTTTGTAAATAAATTCAATGCATCTTTATTAAAATGTTTATTTTTCGATTCTTCAGCTGTGCTTCTTGCTGTATTACTAGATGATTTTGTTGCACCTAAATCATTATAAAATTGTAAATTTTGACTTTGATAATACTTAAAATAAGGAGGATCCAACTTCTTTTCAACATAATAAAATGTTATTGTTTCCAAATTACTTAAAAAACCATAGATCTTTGCTCGGTCCTGTATTTTCAATAAAATAGTCAAGTATCTTAACAATTTTCCAATGTGATGTTGGTCGTCTACTACAGACTTGCCTTTTGCCTTTAATTCTCCAAGACAAACTACAAAATCTTCTAAACATTGTTTCCCATGATCCGCATTGATATTAATATTTTTGTACACAAAAGTACAATCAGGACAATACCTATAAAGTTTTTCACCATCTTGGAATTTTAAATAATCTTTTTTACTTGTATTTAAATATTGCAATTTTGTAGAACCTTCATATTTCTTTAATAAATAACGAATAATGACATCGAATGTAACTTGAACATCCTTTTCCGTTCCTGTACATAATGGTAGTAAATGATTGCAATGATTTTCAAAATCAATTGTTACACTATCATCAATAATAATATTATTAATTAATGAAGAATAAATATTGAATGATTCAATATTGCCAACAACATAACGATGGAAAAAATCATCAAGTCTTGCCATACAACCATTCTGACTGGTATTTGTTGATGTTGAAGATCCATGTTCTGCTATTTTTGCTTCTGCTTTTTTTTCTTCAAGAATTATTTCTTTCTCTTTTAAAATAATGTGATTCGTTGTTTGTATTGTTTTTTCTTGTTCAATTTTCAGATTTGCTTCTGCAATTTTCACATTTGCTTCTGCAGTTAATCGTTTTTCTTGTTCAGTTTTCAGATTTGCTTGTGTAATTTTCCATTCCAATTCCAAGTCTGTTAATTTTCTTTTCTTAGAACGAGGTTCAACCATAATTTTCTATTTTTAATTTGTTTTCTTATCTATAAATGCAACAAAAATTATTCATATGACTATGATAAAATAAGCCTAAACATTCAGATAATCTACCTATATATATATATACAAACATATGAGCACAACTAAATAATGTCATTCTTTTCATTGTCTTCGACTGTGTTCGCAGAAGTCATTGCTGTCAACATTCAAAACAAAAAAAAACAATGAACCATCACACACACCACTATAATGTACTAATCCTCGTCCAATGGAACTGAGGGAGGATGGCAAAAAAAGAAATCTTTCAATAACTTTCTTTTTTATTGGTTTATATGGACTATTCAATTCTAGTCCACTGAGATGGCGAAAAAAAAGACTATAGATATCAAGATATCACGACGCGTTAAACTTATTTTATCGACTAGTAGTGACGTCCAGAGCTGCCGGCCTGGCCTGCTGCCTGGCAGGCGCCGGGTGGCCTGCCAGGTCAGGCCACCTGGCCAGGCTGAATTTTAAAATTTTGGCCTGGCCTGATCCGTCCATCTAATGTTCGGCCTGGTTACCAGGCCAGGCCAGGCCAAAATGGGTGGCCTGGCTGCGAAATGATATTCATTTTTCTAGTAGTCATCTTAAAACATGAGATGACACCACGAGTTGATGATTTTGTTCACTTTTAACTTCGTCATTCATAATTGGTGAATAGTATAGACCACAAGAGTAAACGAATTGAATGAATAAAGGAGAGGAGACAATATTTATGGTTGATTTATTTCAGCGAAAATAAAGCAAACAATGATTTTGTTTAATTGAAAGACAAAACACATTTCTTTTTACATTTTTTTTTATTGGCAACAACTTAAATAAACAATGTCACCTGAACATATTCATCGTTTATCAACATCTTCTACTTCATCTATTTCTTCAATCTCAATTGATGATATTCATATCTTATCAATCTCTCCTGTTTGATCTACTACTACATCATCAAATACAAATGTTTCAACATTTTCTTCTTCGTCAAATACAAATGTTTCATCATCTTCTTCGTCAAATTCGTTATCATATTCTAGTGAACGAATATGTTATTTATCAAAACATGAAAAACAACAATACGATATTGTTGATAATAATAAATCATCTCCTGTTGGCTCATATTGGTCTATTTTTGGATTTGGATTTTCTTTTAATTCTTCGTCGTATCCCGAATCATATGTTGTTTTTGTTATTATGCTTAAATATCTTTCGATTATGCGAAGAAGTATTGATATCATCAAAAAATCTCGTAAATTCAAGTCTTTCTTGTATCAAAAATATTTAAGATGATTGTCTCTTTGTTTTAATTTGCTATTTTGTGGAAAAACTTGTTATTTCATTATCTTCATGAAAATAAATTAAATAAATAATTGAAATTGGAATCATGCATTAATGCAGAGTTATAGAATTTAATGGATTTGAAAAATCAGAAACATCAATTGGCCTGGTTTGGCCTGCAGGTCAGGCCAGGCCGCAGGCCACTCTTTGATTTTTGGCCTGGCCTGTAGGCTAGGTCAGACCAGGCCAGGCTAGGCCGGAAAAAAGTGGCCTGTTGGCATCTCTGGTGACGTCTATTCAATCGAGAATTTTATTTCAGATAGGGTGTGGGTGAGTATGGATGTGGGTGTGGATGTGGATGTAGGTGTGGGTGGGTGTGGGTATGGGCGTGGGTGTGGGTGTGGGTTAAGGGAAGAACTACATCCACACCCACACCCTGTGGGATGTGGGTGGGGTGGGTGGATGTGGGTAGGGTGTGGCGGCGGCTGCGACTGTGGGTGAGTGTGGGGGGGGGGGTGGTGTGAATAAAGAGAAGCCTCACACTCACACCGACACCCACATCCACACACCCACACCCTCTAAGCCTTCTATACGAAAATAAGGTATCTGGGCCACTACTTTTGGATTGCCCTAAGCAGAATGAGTGAAAAGCTGAGTATTTTACTAAACATGTTAGTCAGTGGGTCAGATTGTATTACAAAAATCGAGACTCCAACTCGTACCTAAAGAAGTTTACTAAAAGATACGGTGAAATGCTTTCCAATCTCTACTGGTACTAACCTTCTATCTGACTAAAAATTTGTCTAAAGTTGATTATTGTACTTTTTCTAGATATATAACTCGAAAGGCAATATTTTGAAACCTATAAGATCATTTTAATTCATGGATGTCACCATTTCTCATTGAAGTAAAATAGAGCATCTCTTGATTAGCTCCTACAAACCTTTCGGTCTTTAAATCAAACGAAAGAAAGTACTAGTTATTTGCAAAACAACTTTTTCTTATACTTCAAAGTATTCACTATTAGATGGTGACACTTTGGAGTATAGTCGTTGACGGTTTTTTCGACCATTTTTGTAAAATAAACGGTACAATAGTCATCAGAATCACTCATATATGTGATCTATCGTTTTCTGAGACCGTATTTCTCAAAGTTTTACAGAGCGTTAGAAAAGGATATGCCAAGACTTAACCCCACAAAGTTAAGTATATAGAGAAAGTCAATCTGCTCGGCAATATGAAACAATATTGCAAAAAGAAAAAATATCGTAAAAGCTTCCTCATCAATGGCTCTTATATCGAAAAAATGATCCAAATTGAATCTAAAATATAATAGGAAACAAGAGATCTCGAGCCTCGAAACCTATCTGAAAATATATCGTTCCGTATATTGTAAACGCTACAGGCGAATAACGTTCGATCGAGCTCAAATGTTGACCAGATGCTCCTACATATGTATTCTACTTATGGTAAAACTGAAAGCTCATGAAACTTTTTCCAGGCTGTTTTGCAGGATATCCAAAAACTCAAGGTCTCTGGTCGGAATTCAATTGTAGGCATTCGTGTTACACTTTCAAAGAAAACCAAGGTGATATTCGGAATCAGCACTTTAAACTGTATCGAATGATATAAGACTCAAAATATGTTTCAAAAACAAAATTTCTAGAAAAACACAGAGACACGAATTCCCCACGACTATTTTACAGAAAAATTCTTATCGATAAAAGAAGCTTTAATTTTCAGACGTGCTTTGTGAATGATATACGATTATTTCTGATCGAAAGAAAATTGTTTCTGAGCACAAAAGTCGCATTCCAGAATGTATATACGCAAACAGTTTAATTTCAAAAAGTCGCCTTCAGGTAGTTTTAGTAAAAAAAAAACTTGTTTTGAAAAAGCTCTTATATCCTTGAAAATGGTTTCCTCGGTGATATACGAGGAAAGTTTTTTTTGAATTTTTTTAGCAAATTTTTTTTGTTTTTCGAAGAAAAAATTTTATAAATTACGAAAATTTTCAAACAACTTTTCGAAATGTTTGTAAAAGGTGATTAAGAATTTTTGTAAATCGTTCAGCAAGAAAGAACAAGGTTCTCGAAGATTGCGATTGGTCCCAGACCTCTTTCGGGATGCCTTCTATAGGCTACTTCTCATTTGTGATCATGAGTCAAATAAAATTTTATAATATTATTACAACTTTAAACTTCAGTCAACTGTAAAGTTAAGAAATTAAACTATTTATTGTTCCAAAACTACAAAAACTTCATTAATTTAATTTTCAAGTTTTAATTGATAAATACTCATATTTAACAATTTCCACTCTCAAGTTCGGATCGCATTTAGGAAGATGTAGGGTTCGCTACTGCTTTCAATGCAATTTTATATTTAGTTTAGAAAGATGCAAAGTCCACTAGAATATCTAGTATAAATCAAACTGAGTGTAAAAAGATTTAGAAGTGTCTCGTGTAATCTGTTTGAAGCTACGTGACTACGGTTTGAAAGTGACACTTCTCATTTTTGAAGATTAGTATAAAACACTGCAGCAAAACAAAATTAGTTTCATATTTCGAGCGATATGACTCAGAAAATTTTATCAGCTTTAGAGTAATTATGAATTTTGCTGCTTCACCAAAAAGAAAACTTTATAAATGAGATGTAGTGTCGAATAAATTGTTTTAAAATACGCGTCAATGAAATGTTGTCGCATTTTAAACAAGATCACTGAAATAGGTGGCTCGCGTGAGATTTTTTTTATAAAACCTTTTTTGGAATGTAGCAAGATCATAGAATTAGTTTAAGTACTGTGAATTTTAATCTTAATCAGGAACGCTTTTAGGAAGATGATATACTTAATTCTCATATTGAAAAACGAACTTAAGTACAGCTCGAGCAAGGAGCGTGATTTGAGCGAAAATTAATGAAAATTTGAGAAAGATCGAAGAGAGATTTTGAATTTTTCCCCCAATGTTTCACAAGCGTGATTCAATATCCATTCAAAGTGTGACCTCGTTGGACGCTTGTTTGAAGAGAACTGGAATACCAACACCTAAATCTTGTCTCGTTTACATTTTTTCTTCAGTTTTCGTTGTTGAATAATTATATTTTTAGCTTTCAATTAGTTTCTTTTCAATGGACTGTTGATCTTATATTATTATAGAAACTAAATAGGATTTCAATACAAATCAGGCTTATGACATTCATATTGGTAATTTAGTCTGATGAACTCTCAACATGAGACTTAATTTAAAGGAAGAAGAAGAGTGCTACGTAGTTTAGCGCACTCTACAAATATTAATTCTTAAAACAAACTGGCTATTGAAATTCGTTTCAGTAAAAAATATTAGATAACAAAAGCAAACGATTTTTATTTTCGGAGTTCTTTTCAAGCAATGATTTTTAACGAATTAAAAATCGAAAATTTGACACTTTCAATGGCTTTTAATCTGAGAAATTCAAGTTAGTTAAGAAATGAAGTAAAATTCAATTTAATAAACTTTGAATCTTTGACTGTATGTTCGCAAATAAGAGGATACTGATCTGTTTTTTAATTGAAGGATTGAAAGAAACAATTTTTTCGGTCGTTATCAATCGCGTATTTATCTCTTGTTTATTATAAGTGTAGCCAATAGCTTATCTCATTCTTTGCATGGAGTGCACAAAACAGTAGCACGCATGATTTACTTTAGAGAAAGAATGCAAAAAAAAAA